CTCGAGTGGCGTTCGGCCCGGCATATTGCCGTCACAAACACCATCAGCACGAGCAACCTGCTGCGCCATGTTCACGCTTGCAGCACTTGCCCCCGAGTCAGAAGCGGCTGCGGCCCCATGCGTTTTTTGGTACCACTTGTAAGCGTCACTCAGATGCTCCAAAAGACCGCCTCCCTTCACCACATCAGAGCCGCTATCTGAGCACCAAACTTGGTGCACTATCAGCTCGTGCTCCTTCTGGCACGGATTGCCGTGCGCGTCTTTACCCTCACACATGATGGGCATCCCAAGAATCGGCACGCCAGTTTCAGCTGCTTGATCGTAGACCGTGTCTAGAATGGTAAGCGCAGTGGACTCTTCCGTGAGGAGCGGCGCCCCAATGCTTGGCCGGTGGATAACCCGCATGTCGGCGTCCATCATGAACATGTCGAACTCAGCTGTCGAGTACTTGCTGCCCTTGATGTTGACGCCGTCCGAGCTCATCCGCAACGCCACCACCGGGGCTCGGTTTTCCGCTTGCCCCGGGTCGTTGCAGATGGCCGGGTCTCGGCTCGGCGCAACCTGCTCTAGCCTGCGGCATACCTCGCGGTTCCCGATGCGCTGCCTCAGAAGCTGCAAGCTTGCGTAATGTTTTTGCGCGCCGTAGATGAAGGCGTCCATTTTGCGCCTTTCAAGGAGCCGTGCCCTCCTTGCGTGCGCGTCTTCAGCTTTTTGCTCGTCAGTCAGCCACTCCTCTCCAGTAACGCCAGCAGTCTCATACGCATAAGCGTACACTTTGTCTATGTCAAGCTCTGTGCTACCCACCAAAACTTTTCGCGGGTCAGCAGCTGCCCGCACGTCCTGAACTTCCTCGTCATCCGTAGCATTTGCGAGATCAGCGTCGCCGTCGACATCTGGAGCTGATTCTTTGTCTCGGGTGCTGGCCTGCTTTGTCCGACTTTGAACCCGAGGACGCTGGTGGCGTTTCGGCTTTTCTTCTGTTTCCGCGGCACCTGCATCCGCTCCCGCACCTACACTCAAGGCTAAGCTCGAAGCAGAGCGCGAAGAAAATGAAACCATTGGACGCCGGCGCCCAGATGTCGCTTCCCCAGATGCAACTGCGGGCGTAACTACTTCAGGCTCCCCAGTCCTTCTCTTCTTGTTCTTGCTGCTTGTCTTCCTTTTGTGTTTGCGCAAACCAGGCGGAGGCGCTGGCGCATCGTCGTCGTCTGCTAGTAAGTCATCCTCTTGATCTTCGAAGACTAAGCTTGGACCTTCCCTATCGCTGTCACTGTCACTGCTGCACCCAATCCCCATCGCGTCGCCGGTGCGCCTCTTCTTAGCGCTGACAGCAGCGCTGACTGTTCGAGAAGAGGCCGAGGACGTAGCTGCCTGGACGTTAGCTCGCTTCTTGACGCCCAGCCATCTTCTACGGCACCCATCCTGCAGGCGGCTGGCATCGTAGCCGAGGGCTCGATTGTGCGCTTTGCCCAGTTGTGGCGCTGTGCCTCGACAGCCGCCGACGCCCCAACGAAGCCGGATATAGTTCGTAATTCGGGGATCATCATCTCCGGGTTGCTGGATTTGTTCTGTTGCCAATCCGCTTGCCAGGCGCAGGTCGTCCGACTCCTCCTGCTTTGGCTGGATGTGCTTCCGCCTGTCACAGGATGAAAAAGAACCAGCAAAAGCATTCGCACCCTTGTCGCTTCCTTGCCCACTCACGTCCTCGATGTAGTACAATTTACGAAGGTAGATTTCTGCGATGTCCTTCCACGATTTGCCTCGCCACTCTGGTGTGCGTCCTCGTTTGTTGTAAATCGTGCTCGTTGCTGGAGTGACCTAGAGTTTTGCTTTTGATTTTGTGGAGTATGCAATTACTGTAGTGGAACAAGTGCAAAATATAGAGTGGGACGAAATAGAGAATATAAGTAGAACGAAGCAGAGACTGGTACGAAATAGAGGCAAGACCATACGAGTTAGAGAACCACGGGAGACAAATCATGGAACGAAATCAAATGGAGGCTGGAACGAAATAGAGAACAAAACGGAACTAAGTACGGAACGGAAGATAGTGCAGAGACTAGCAAGCCAGGTAGCAAAGTAATGACCGGAACGAAATAGAAACTGAAATAGAAACACAAATAGAAAGCGGGCTAATGATCTACCAGCGCTATGCTCACGCAAAGACGCTGATGGCATAGTTGTTATTGTTTGAAATTCTAACTCAACACCTATAATTATTCTTATAGATATAAGCTTCTGAACAAAAAGCAAGAAATACCGCGCAGCCTCCTCTGCCATTTCGCTCGGCTTTCAGTCTCAGATGCTGAGAGTACATCCCCCGAGCTTGTTCCAACACCTCGGCCACGTCCTCCGCCCTTTCAATTTCGCGACACAGCAAGCTCCGAAACTGGACCGCGTCCATGGTGTCGGTTTCGGTGCGTGTCGGTGTCGATGTTGATGCTGATGATGCTAAAGCAAGCGCAAGAGCTGCAGAAGCATGCCCAGAAGCCAGAGCCAGAGAGACTCAGAGCAGCAAAGGCTCGCGTACATGTATGGTAGCAATTCTGCGGTGTGACACGTATATCACCTCCAATTCTCTGCCAAAAAAAAGCGCTAGTCAAGAACTTGGTAGGATTGTGGTTGCGTTCTCTATGTCTATGCTAGGCCTACACTCTAATAGCGTTCGAATTAGCCACAGATAATGCTCATAGAAGCATCCGCATCGACGTACGTGGTTCATTATACACACCGTAACTGTACTATACTGCTCGACCTCGACTAGACGCGACGCGACGCGACAACAACAAGCGAGGGACACCGAAGGCGGCCGCGGTGTCGTAGTCGATACGATTACGATTACCATTACGATTCTCGACGAAAATGCAAAAGATAGCAAGGGGATGCATATGCAATTCGCGCACTGCCACTGAGCTACCAAAAACGAAAATAAATGGGAAGAGGTTCTAACGAACGATAACGACAAGCGCGAGAATCTGCACGCCCCTCGATACCATAACGAAGCTAAGGCCGAGATCTAAACACGAAGACGGAGCGAGGCTGGTCTCTATTAGCATTCGATCTGCATCTACCTCGTTTCGATGTGGCTACTGGTGCTGCTGCAGCTGCTTCTGCTTCTGCTGCAGAAGTTCTTGCTCTCCATCTGAGCCTGCATTCTGCAAGGAGCGACTCAGGCACTTAACTGCTTCCACTTTCGAAGTATATACCTAGTAGTATTGTCGTCACTTCTTGCAGGAGGGCTGGACTCGGAGGCCATAAAGGCACTCGTTATCAACAGCAAAGCACTCCGCTTCTCTCAGTCAACTTCAGCTTCACGTTCACGCAGGGCTGGACTCGGAGGTCATAAAGACGCTCGTTATCGACAGCAAAACACTGCGAGACCTATAGAAATCGGATACTCAGATCCGTTGGTTTCGGGCTTGCGCCACGAATTCCAGGGGGCGCCCGCGTGGAGGACGACATCTATAGGATTTGTGCCCCCCATACGCTCCCAACCAAATCACTAAGATTTGTCTGCTAGGAGCAAAACTTCCAGATTCTAGGAACGGAATTGTCCGATTCTAGGAACGGAATTGTCCGATTCTAGGAACAGATTGCTCTGATTCTAGGAAAGGAATTCACCGATTCTAGTAAAATATTAGAAATACACAAAGCCTAAAAGTACCAAGCTCAACTAGGTAATTGGTGTATTTCTTGAGTCCTTAAATTGGTTATGGATACATAATCTACTAATTGTTTTCCACTATAATCTGCATGGGAGTGAGCTGCTGCACACAATGCAGCAGCCAAGTCAGCCATAATCAAGTGAAAAACACATGCTTACTTCTGTATTTTTCATCTTCCTAGTCAACAACTCGACGAGTAGTTTTAGAAGAATGACCAATATCAACACGCAAAAATCAGTGGAATTCCACGCGATACGGAACATATATCAACCACACTTGGTAGTCCATACTTGTAGGATTCATGACACAAACACACTTTTGAGGTTCAAAGGATAGGTTTTGGCAGGATTCGATGTCAACGTCGCCCTCACTCTCAATCTCGAAGTGGGTGCTCACACTTGGAGTCGATAGGATAAAAAAGGGCAGCCTTCGTCTCTTCTCTATTTTCTCTTACGAATTCCTGTGCCAGAAACTCTTTGCGCAAAAACTCACTACTTCCAGGAACGAAAAAACTAATTATAGGACGTGCGCAAAAACTTCCTGTGGAAGAAAACCTTTACCAAACGCCAAGCGTGCCATTACGAATTCCTTGATGACTTCTTGCCCTAGTACGAATCCAGCATACCTCTTCTTAGTAAAAAGAACTAAAAAAACGAACTAAAAGATGGATGGTCGTAGCAGCCTTCGCTAAAAGTTGCCTGTCTTCTCGGATTTCAGAGCCATATCTCTCTTCGCCCTTTGTTTCGTCATTTGTTTTCGTTGAGAATTCATAGGCAATGAGCAGATTCGAGGCGAAAGAACTTGGAGCCGTGCTTTCTGAGGGATTGCAATAGCAAAGCATAGGTATTTGTACTGAGCTAGCGAATTTGGGTATTTGCTTGGCAAAGTATGATGACAAGATGCGCGTCTACTATGCGCTCTCCAGATAGGCTGAAAGAGTCACGACTTCCTCCAAAGCAGGATCTGGCTTTACATTGATACGTTCCCGACGCTCAGAGCACGGGCGTCATGGGTCGTTTACAACACTACTCTTATTTCATTAATATGATCCATATATTAGGAAGAGCGATAGTAGCATCACAAATATCGTCTCTGGCAAACACCCCTGATGTTGCGACGAGTGTCGATCTACTGACTGCGTGCTACAAGGAAGTAGTGGAAGCGATCTACGCATCCATTTATTTACGAATGAAAATGTACATTTGGGCCATATCGGTGAGCCTCTGCCTGTACTGTGGTACATGATAGACTTCTCTGCTATCAAGTACTTGTCATCAAACGCGAATTGTACACCCCCTGTAAATTACATTCTCAATATTTCGAGACGGCGAATATCTACAAATCATTCACATCGATGTGCTTCTGATGATCTGGAACTTCATCCGTCAGATCCGAGAGAATCTTCGCCTTTGCAGCCGGGAGCATCGTCCTCATATCCAGGTTTCTTAGAAGAGGACACTTTATATTTATATAATAGTTTATCAATTCTAATTCTTATTGAGGAGGTCCCTCCGCTAAAATGACGAGAAAATTTACCTGCTTGCCGGATGGGTCTGTCTGCTTTACAGCGGACATTTTTGGGACTGTCTAACTCTAATATCTACAGTTCGCAATTATAGCAAAACAAATCAGTCTTGGTTGTGCATAAGCACACATAGGTAAATTTATTAGTACCTAACAAGTATCTTCTCTTCTCCATTTAAGGTTAAGGTTACATTTTAACCCCCAGCCTTAACTTGACATACTCTTTTGTTGTCGGGATCCAAAAATAGCCATATGGTTGCTCCTCATTGCAACCTGTCGCACACATCAGCTCATACCTGAGAATATTCATTTTGATTAAAATATTTAAGCAGCCCACTATGGTATCATGACACACTCATGATCTTTTACTAGTGAAGTGACACCACGATGATGAGAAGAATGCCACGCCAGTTTCTTTACAGGCATAATTCTAACCTTGCTATATCCCTGGTCGACGCCTGCTTGGTACTCCTCTTGGCGTCCTTTTCTTGTGGTTTCACGGGCATCGTTATGCCTGGCGGAGGCTGTATCAACGTCCCGACTCCTTCCAGGTTTTTGTTGTACCTTAGCAAGAATTTTGGCGAAAATGGGGGAATCTCAATCTTTGCTTCACTAGAAGGTCGTACATGTGGTCCAAGCCATTCGACTGGCATTGCTCCCCCGAATGGCACCATTTCGTAGAGGAACAAGGTTATCACAAGCAAGCTCAATTGAATTCGCGAAAACTTCTTGGATAATAGTCCTTCTTTGCTTCAGCATCTTACTTACAAAAGATTAATATAGTTTTTCAACAGCAGAAAGTGAAGAGAAAGATGTACAGTGTTGCTGTTGACGCTATTTGAGTTTCCTCGGGTGCTCGAAGAGGAATAGTCGACTCCACTCGTCCCCCTTTTATGACTGGTATATTTCTTGACTTCCGCGGCGTGCACTGGGGTGCGCACGCTTTGCTGGTCGCAGCTCCGCTGCATTCTTTTGACGGGCCCGCAGTTGCTCTCTTGGAATCCCCCTGGTGGTTTTGGAATGTTGATCGTGGACAAAACTGAAGAATATGCTCGAGCACTGGTACTCCTAGCAGCCTAGTCGTACATAATAATAAATTCGTGGCCACCATACCTTGCCCGCGCCCGCCGAGAGTAGTGCGAAATTCAAATTGAATCACATGATAAATGGAATTTCATATTATTGTGTTCCCATTCGCGTTGACTTTTCATAAGTTACCTGTGAATCGGATGATGGTGACAGGTCGCACAGGGACATGGATCTCTTCTTTTCACGTGGGCGTTGCTTCGTAGTGCCGAGATTCTCCTTCTTGTCCTCCGTCTGCAGCAGCTTCTCAACCGTTCCTGCTCTTGTGGTATCACGTTCAGCGGTCCTTGTGGTCTTCGCCGGAGTGGATGATGAAGGTGCTTTGGTTAATCCCCTCGCCTTTATGTTACGACTGCTCACGACCACAGGCGGAGACACTCTCCGCTTCTTCAAGAAACGCAGGTTATCGAACCGGTTTCCCGCGCTATCGTCCTCCCCTTGTCGCATTCTCTTGCGGCTTGTTGTTCCAAATCTATTCTTCCTCTTCGCATCCGAGAAACTACTTTCCCCGTCGTTGGCGCCGCCGGACTCCGCGTCGCCTTCGCACGCGCCAACATCCTCTACTAGCTTCCGACTGCCTTCGCATTCAAGTTGCGCCTGTGCACTTTTCTCTTGTGCTTGATGAACATCATGTTCTAGTCTGGTTGCAGGCGAGCCTTCTTGCTTCGGGCCCGACGAGCCCTGCGTGCGCGCCGCCGGCGAACGGCTCGCGGAAGATCGAGCCCTAGTAATGACGTGCTTTCCCTTTCGTGGGGCTTCATCACCACGGGGAAACGCGCCCGACACCTTTGCTGAGGTTGGAGGCGCCCCAACTGCGACTTCGCTCTGCGCATGAGAGCCCGCAGCTATATTGCCTCGACAGCTCCGATTTGCTCCTTGCAGCACGCTCCGTCCTCGTGTCCTTGTGCGGGATCGAGACCTATCAGGCGCTGAGGGGGGTTCCCCTTCCCGGTCACGCTTCTTACTGCTCTTCCCGATCGTCTTGCTTGAGGGTCGTTCTCTTGCGGTTGGTGGATGCTCTCGACGAGGCGACCTAACAGCGCGATCGCTTTTTGACGCGTCACCACGGGTAGCGTAACCGCGGCGATTTTTTTGATGGTGCGCTCTGTCAGAGAAAGCTCCCGCCTTCTTGTCGCTCGTGTCTCCGTTTTGCGCAGTCCTTGGCTTTTCAACTTCGCAAGAACGCTCCACACCGGGAGCAACTCTTCCCTCCGTAGTTCCCTGGTTGCCACACGATCTCCTTTTGCTCGCCTCACTTCCACGCAGTACCGGATCTCGGCGTAGGGGAGCGCCGTTAGACCGGCCAGTCGCGCCTTTCTTCTGGTCGCCCCCGGCGTGCTGAGGACTAGAAAGCGGGTCGCCATGCACGCCGCGCCTGTGGTCTCCGCGCCGCGCTTGTGCCCTCCTCCCGTTACGAGAAACAGAGGATGCACGAAGTGTGTTTATGCAGCTCTCATTTTCCTCTGCCGAGGTCGTTTTACTCTTCTCCCTTGGAGAAGGCTCCAGTGCGGGTGACGCGGTTGTTTCTTGGCTTTCACGGGCAACCAGCACCCTCTTCAATTGCGGACTGGCTCCGGCATTCGGCGAATCGGCAGACGCCGCTCCTTCTTGCTGCACCAGTGCGCCTTCTTCTGCCGCGCCACTCTCTCCATCCGGCGTCTTCTTCTCAAGGGCTTTGATATCGTGATCCGACACTTCCTCAAGCAAAGTTGGCGCCAGGGCATCAAACGCTGTCGTAGGCAAATCCCCTTCGTTTTTTGTCTCGTCGCCAAAGTCGTTTTGTACATCCGCGGTTGCAATGCACTCCCCGTGCTCCTCTAGCGGTGACTCGAGCTCCACACCCTCTCTAGACGTACGGACCGTCTGCTCCTCTTCCGGGTTCTCGTCCTGTCGATCCCCGAAAGTCTTTTCCTCCTCGTCATTCTCGTCGCCACGACCTTGCCCACAATGACACCCCTCCGTGTCTTCAATCTGCCCCTGCTCGGTTCCGGTCTTTGTTGCGTGTAGTTCGTCCTCGAGCTCTGCGCTGGCACTGCTTTCTGCCACAAGTGGCGAACCGCTATTCCGTTCCTCCGGAAACGCCTCTCCCGCGGAAGGCTGCGCTGAGTTCGTCGAGCCTCTTTCGCTGGCATGCGACGCGCCCTCATCGCGCTGCGCCTCGGAAATATTTCCGTCGCTCGAGTCCCCTTTAGGTCCTTGCACAGGCATCGTTCCCCGCGCGTCTTCAGCAGCAATTGCAGACTCGACGGCGGACTCCGCGACTCGACCTGCATTCCCGTCTGACGGCAAAGAATTATCGCGCCGTGGCTCACACTGGTTTCTAGAGCCGGTGCATTGTAAAGCTGAACCTGGAGGGGGAAGCCCACGCTGATAAATTACTTTATTCGTGCCGGACATTGGACCTATCGAAGTCGAACTAAGCGCTGGCTCTTGTACTCGCAGCGACGCCAAATCTTTGCTGTGGCACGGCCGCGTCGAGTTCTGACCGACATTATCGACTTCGCCTTCGGTCAACGCAATCTCCTCTGCGCCGTTCCGTGCTAGCAGGCAGGATACATTTCCCACGCTGCTCCTTCCCACGCGGTCACTGGACTTCCTGCGAACAGGTGATGCTAGCGACTTCGCGTGCGCAGCTGTGTGCTTCGGGCTTCGTTGGTCCGAAGAATTAGTGCCAGATATGTGGCCTCGCACCGCGTGCTGCGGTTTTGAGGGCCTCGGATCGGAATGTCCAGGAGCCGATCCGTGGACAACTCTTCGTTGCGGGCGCAGCGACTGTGTCATTGCGCGCCGCTGAGGTTTCTCCGACCGCCGCGCTTGACGATTGGGCCGGTAACCACATGCGGCACTTGGACGCCTTGTTATCGTTGCTCCCCGCAGAATACTCGGTCCGCGTGTCCTTGCGCGAGATGGCGCCCTGCCAGAAGCAGAAGCTGAATTACCGACTGCCGGACCAGGACGCTCAATTTCCGAGAGCGAGCACTCCCGGCAACGGCCCAGCGATGCGTGTTTGCGGGCAGGAACGGATGTTGCCTGCACATGCGGTTCCCCCTCATTGGGCGCTACCGGACTCTCACCTGCGGAGCTCGGTGCGAGCTCACCCTGAACTTGTTGGGAAGGCGTTCGACACGCATCCTCATCTTGCTTTTCCTCAACCTCCGGCCGAACCCTTGTCCGCCTTTCCGGTTTCGCCGACCTTCGCGAGGATCTCGACAGAGAGGAAGCCACACTTCGTCTTGTAGATCTTTTCCGCTGGGCTGCCTCCTTAGGCTCCGCGTCCGCCACAAGCGACGCTCTGCGACGCTCAATGCTGATAGAAGATGAGCGGTGCCGCCCGGAGCTGCGCGAACCCGGATTATTGACGGAGGAAGGGAAATCCGCTTTACGCCGTTTCGTTCCTCCTACGGTAGGCCGCTGTTCTCCGGAACTCAAATTCATATTCTCGTTTTCGTCATCTTCTGGCTTGACATGCTTGCGGCGCTTCTTAGATGATGTTTTCTTGTTTGGGGTACTGGTGCTCTGCGCCGCCATTCTAGATGATTTACCAGTACGTAGATCAGCCCGTTGAGGCCTCGCTTCATCGGCCGGACGGCGTTTGTTGTTGCCCCTAACTGTCACACTCACGTTCTGAGCATCGGCGATTCCGCTGCTATAATCGTGTGACGCTGACGACACCTTGCAGCTTGGCCCATCTTGTATATGACGGGTGTAATTTTTTCCACTCTTCATTTTGCTGGCCTGATGCGCTGCTGCACCTACCTCCGCTCCGTGCCTCGAAGTGGGCGCCCGGCGACTGCCACCACCCTCGCGTCCACGACTGTTGCCGCGCTGGCAGGAGGCGCTTCTTCTTTGCTTCTGTTTCGGATGCGGTTGAAGAAACTCTCTTTCCTCCTCTCGCCCCCGAGGTCGGTGGTTACGTGGTGTATCCACAGAAAGACGGTCGTAGATTCCTGCTCCTCCGTGACGAGTGTTGTTTTTGGCTGCGGTCCGATGTGGCGACCGACTCGAGGAGCGCGCCGATCTTGTTGCAGCATGATGCACTCGTTCTCGAGGTTGCCGCTTGCTGTGCCGACTACGACTGTCGTCGCGACGTTTGTGCGCAGGTCGATCGCCCGCTTTGGTGCCTCGTCTTGCTTCCCCTCCGGGATAGGACAGCGGGGCGACCAGAGAACCTCCGTCGCAAGGAGATGCGCTTGCCCCACCGCGAAAAATGTGCTGCAGCAACAAAGGGTCTAGCGCAGAATGAAGACCTGGCGTCGCGCCCAAAAGCCGACTTGCAGCCATGTGGTCGGAGCCTGGAAGCAAGGGATGCCCCTCTCCGAGCAACAAAAGCTCGTTGCTGAGGTCCAGCCGCGAACCTGGCGGATCGCTTCGAGATGCGCCGCTCCTCGCACCATTATGATTGTGGTACTTTTGACTACCCGAGCTGGAGGAGTTGCCAGCTCGCGCATATTGCGCTGTGAGGTGTTCCGTTAGAAGACGCTCCCGAGCGTACATACTTTCCACCATGGCCTGCTGCCGTTCGGCCTCCGCTTCGAGCAACAGTTGTCGGTGAGTTTCCAACGCAAATCCGCGATTCGTCGAGGACGTAGCTGTACTTCTACCGCTGAATCGATCCGCCAGATGCTCCCGCCAGTGGCCGGATCCCAGACGATGGTCCCCGACTTGCCTCTCTTCTGCCCTTTGACGCCAGTGCATCGCGCTATCATTTGAAAGCCGCGATTAGAAAAAATGGGAGTTTTTCACAGTCACACCATATAGCGTCCCACCAAAAGGCGTTGCTTGAATCTTCGAGCATGGCCTAGTACAAGTACAACGAACTGCTTAAAAAAACAGATTCAAATCACCCATGGCTTTGTTGATGATGCAGATATAGTGTTGCTCGGAGATTCTCACTCACTGGAGCACGGAAACTGACATCGTTTTTTCGCATCAGCCAGTATGTCACTCATTAACATTATATCCATGCACTTCCACTTGCTAGTCCAGTAATACTATTCAAATATGATTTTCTAGATTTGCAATATATCACGAAACTGGCCATAAGCAGCAGTTCGTCCGGCAGTCGAAACATTCCTTCGGTCATCATGGTCGCTTCTCCTGCCGCGCGGCGCATTCTGATGATGATGCCGCGAACGACTGCTCATCTTCGCAATTTTTTTCCGGATATAACGATGTCACGAAAGACAAACTTGGATTCTCTTAGGCAAGAGAGGGCCACTACAAACTCCAGTTGCTTCGATTCAGCCAAGAGGCATCAATATCGTGGGTGGCGCTCCAAATCACTCATATCAAAAAAGCAAAAACTAAAACGATTCAATAACAATCAAACAAAGGCGACATTGAGCGGGAAGCTACTGCGCAAAGATATCGCACATCAAGATACTAATCACAAAAGCCTTCGTTTTTCCTCAGCAACATTGCTACAGCTCCAATCTCCAGTAACAAACATCATGAGAAGAATGCAAGCGCAGAAATGATAAATCATGGCATGATCTGAAAGCGCTGAAACTATCACACTTCCGGTGAATAAGATGATCCTGATGCAGAACAAGTCTAAAGAACTTGGTTGCATTTCTCATCTACACATCTGTACAAGCCTTGAAATTCACCGAGCAGCAATCAGGCTGGATTGAGCCTCATGGAGTCCGTATTTGGCACTAAAGGAACACACACTCCTTACTTCCAACACCGCAACGCCCTAGACAAGAAATAGGAAGCTGTACACCCCCGACGAAGTCGATACATCTATATGCGTCAGCTACTCCTTCACCTTCTGCCGGTGTATCTTATGAATTTGGCAGAGAGCAAAAGCGTGTATCTGTTTTTCAGATCCTTTACTTTTCGTGAAAATCCAGCGACATCAACTCGCACCCGTAGTCGTATTCATATTTTCTCAGAGTATTATATAAATATATGCAACTCCTGTGTGCTATGCACTTGTATAAATGGAATAGATACGGATATCTTTATTTCTTGTTTTTCACTTTGCGTTTGATCCAATTGAATGCAATTTTTGCTCCCTTCCCAGTGTATACTCCACACTTGAGCTTCCAGAAGAGTCGCATGGCCACGTTCCCTACCTGCGCCTTCGTGGGTCCGGAAACCGTGGCCAAATTGCCTATCTTGCTAAGGTGGATTTTCACCTCGCGGTCCAGTTTGCAGAACCGGGTGAGGTTTCGCTGCTTGTCGCTGACACCTTTGCGGCCCGCAAGCTGAGGATACTTCGGATTCCAATACAATTTCACGCCCCGACCGCACATGATGATTTGCACTGCGAATCCCCTGGTCTTCTCTTGCAAGTAGTTCTCCACTGTGCGCCCCTGTCGCGTTATTAGAACAACTCGAATTCTTCTAGTAGTCCTACAAGTTCTATTACTCGAGAGCAAAAGAAAACATCGAAGATTACATACATTTAAATTAAACCATATTTTTGCAGCAGCTAGTACGGTCAACGTGATTATAGAGAGACTCAATTCGTACTACAACGACGCATTAATTCGATAGACCACAGCATGACCCACGAGAACTCCAAAAAACCAAAAGTGGCCTGATGATACAGAGCTTAGGGTATGCCTTAACTTGCGCTCGTCTACCGATCCCACGAAAACCGTGTCCTGTACCTTACTCGTCGGCGCGTGCCGGTAATACCTTATTTCCTCACATTTTTGACCTTCGCGAAAATAGTACTGTGCTCCGAGATTCGCTACTACACCTGGATACTTCGTAAATTCAACGGTTTTCTGGTGCTCCGCGCAGTATGTCGAACTGAAAAAACAAATATCATATTTGTTGCGAAGCTTTGTCGAGTCTCCTGTTCCCTATCACAGTTGCGTACGACAACAAAGAGGAGGTGAGGCGCACGCTCAGACAAGAAAAACAAAAATATACATAGGTAATCATAGACGACCCACCTGACTCCCGCCCTCGTGTCAAAGACGCTTGCTCTTGCGTTTTCCGGCATTTTCGACAGCGGCAATAGGTGACTGTTGTTTAGTCGCACCCGCTTGTAATGGAAGAGGGTATCGCGGTTGCCTCCGTAGCAGTGCTCGCCAGGAGCTCCTGTGACACCTTTACCCCGACGTATATCAGAGACCGACACGAACGAGCGACATGATCCACACCGAAGCGGAGACGAAGAGCTACTGGAAGGACTTGACCCAGAGAGAGAAGTCAAAACTGTCGCGAAAGTTGGTGACAAAACTGGTGGCGCTCGTGGGCAAAACGAGGCACGCACGGTCGTCGAAGTCATCATCACCTTGTGAAATATAACTACGAGGTCGTTACTTACTAGGGTCGGTGCTATGTTATGCTGCCTCGTGACATGGTCTATATCCCAGAGTGAGTATCTTGAACGACAGAAGTCAGACTTCTGTACGGACGACCGCGGTGATATTTAGAACCAGATTTTCAATATTGCAATATTTTAGGACTCCAGCGATGTTGGAGACACAACATGTATGTAAGACAATCTTCGTGTAAGGTCTTGGATTCAAAAAATTCACGTCAAACTTCCAAGTCGGATAAGCCCTCAATATCAAACTTTCTCGACACAACATTCGCTCGAAGTCGAACATGTCGTTACCATGGCACTAAGTATCACCCACCAAAGCGCTATGCTAGTAGCGGAATCATCCAAGTTTGTGCGCAGATCCGTCTGTTGAATAACACAGAAAGTGCGAATCGATCACAAAAGTCACCATGACAATACCAAACCATGAGTATTTGTGGAATGCTGAACATGGCTACAAGTAGTTCTATTTTCCTCCAATCGAATCATCTCGCGGCGGACTGTCTTCTCGCATGCCCGGTGGTGGTTCTGGTTCCAGCCGGAAAACTTCTCCATCCCATGCCTTAGAGGTTCTCAACAATAGTTCGTTGGCATTGCTCTTCTTGTAGGTTTGGGACTGCGTGGTCCTCGACACGACTTTCCTCCTAAAATAAATGCATAAACATTTTTGATGTTGCAACTACTTGAGAGTGCATGAAGGAATTTGCCTAAGTAGAGTCCTAGGACGAAAACTCATCAAATTGAGAAAACTTATGGAGTAGACATTGCATATTGAATTCCATCAGTAAAATTCACCATCCAGGCGAAGTATCAATTTAAAACTGTTCTTAAGGGCAAAGGGAAAGGACGATGGTGGTTTGCCCATGACGACCGGAGGCTGACTCGTCTGAGGAGATGAGGCAGCACCGGGATTGGAATAGGACTCACCTTGTTGGGAGCTACCGGTGAGCGATCCCGAAAGTTTCTCCATCAATCGCAGATTGACCATGCGATTGAAGACGACACCCGTAACCGCGTTGTTGCTGATGTTCTCCAAGAGCCGGGCCTGCGCGTCCCTGCTGCATTTCCAATAACCCACGAGGTTCGCTGCGGCGAAGCTCACTCCGCAAGCGGACAACAGCAACCACGACAGGCTTAGCGTTAACACATTGATGATGGAAAGTGTGATCCATAAGGCCACAAAGACGTACTGCGTGTTCCAGAAAACGAAACGGTCACCTTGGTCCAAGGAAAGCTCTGATTGATGACTCTCGAAGACCCAAAGCGAGGTTCCGTCCTCCTGCACCTCGTTCCACCAACGAAGACCAACCTGCATCGAGGAAAATGGAAGAATAATTCAATATATAAAGATGATCAATTTTCGGCATCGTTCTTTCTGTCCTCGTTTTTGAAAACAGACTTGCAAACACGACAAGAAGGGAAGAATATGTATGATTTACCTCGCCATTGTGGACATTCTTCATCTATCAATCTTATTTTTGCAGCAAAATTCTTGTTCTTCACGGATTGCGGGAAGGTGCGTGATTGAAAAATAAGGCAACATATTGAAGGCAAATTAAATTTTAGGGTGCAACCTTACGTACGAAAACAAGATAGTACCAAAAGCCTGCCGGTGACGTTTTTCACTGTCCAAAAGTCAAACGCAAGAGCAAGCATCACGAGCACAAAGGTGTTCACGTAGCTCAACAAGAGAGAACCAAACATATATGTGAGCAGAGCAACACACTTGAATAGCACGTGAAATAAGCACACCCTTGGGTGCGCAGTGCTTTGTACAACCGAAACCAGGCGCTCCATTTTGGCGTTTTCACAAGTGTCGATGTCCTTCATAATTTAATGCACTGCTATAGCAGTTGTAAGTATTCAATCATCCCTCTTCGGTGCTTCATCAGAGACATATTTTACTCTGTTGTTCTCATTTATCAACCTAGAGGGCAACAAGTAGGAATCGGCTCGAGAAAGGTCTTCGCACATCTTTTGTCTGTAAAAACGAAGTAGCCCTTACGACTCTTGCGTCGACATATATACTCCGATCTTGCACCACACCCAAGGGTTGGAGAACAAAAAACAAGAAAGGCTCCTCCAGCAGAAAATTGAAGTCAGAATAACAACCGTTAGTTTAATCAGGATCAATATTTTCGTCGGCTGTGGATTTCGCCCTGGTTTTTCGGTCGCTGTGCTGTAGCGCAACCGCATTTCCATTTATCCGAGGCTCAACCTTCGAATCCCAATCAACCATGTCGACACGATATGAACTCTATTTGACTTTCGCCAAGTAGTACTCCACCGCTTCCAGATGTGATCCATTGCTTCGCGCCGCCTCCTCTGACAATGAACGAGAGAAGTCCATCGAAACCAACGTCTCGATATTAGTACGGTACAAGCGAGGACGGCGACGTTGATGAAAACAGGCTTACACCGTTGAGAAAAGAACGCATGGCATCCATCCTAGTCCGCCACTCTTCAAGAAAAGCTGCTCGATCGTCCTTGGGGTCGAGCGGTCTGCACCCACCAAGCGGGCTCAAACTCCCAGCCACGCGTGAGCAAGGCGTCCATCGGCCTCTCTAGCACCGCCCGTTGGTTCCATAAATGTCAGAAAAGTCGCGCCCACGAAGACGGTTCCCATTGCCCTTCGCCTTCCACCAAGACATGCTCTCCATTGCTTTCGTGGCGGTTAGAACCGCACGTTCCAACTGGTCTATTTTTTCTAGCAACTCCGCCTGTTTTGCCACGCCCAACTTCGCGATGAGTTTCTCTTGAATCGAGTCTAAAGCTTTTCTGTCCTCAGACGGTGCGGCTGTCGGCGATTCCTTCCGAGTCGGAAAAAAATAGAAGATCTGGCTTCTTGCCAACTTGACGAGACTGTTGGTGTTGAGCGCCACGAGCAAGTTCAGTGGCCTCGTCCGAAGTGAGCCAGTCATGCAGTTGAATGATAGTAGCCACTGGTCAAAATGCTCGTCATAAACCCAGTTTTTCCAACTTGGGCGTTCTCTTTGGCCGCGTAATTGAAAGTGGCGTCATTGAAAACGCTCTTAATCGCCTTTGGTTGTCTATTAAGCGAAAATATGATGTTTTGCTGATGTTCCCGCATGGAAACGGCGCTGTGATCGCCCTCCTGGCAAGGGTGAATCAATAAACAGTCCAGAAGTCGCATTATCTTGTGACCAAGATTAGAATCTCCCGTGGGGTCACGAAACTTCGAGGGGCTTCCGATCTCTTCAGGAGCAAGTGAGAAATTCGCTGCGAAAACTGAGCAAGATACGGACCCACAACGACGAGACAAGGTCACATCAATGACATCGCGCGTCTGCAGAAGGAAAATGACCTTCGCAAGAGAGTGGGCCGCAACATTTTGAATGAACTTGTGTTCGTAGAAACGAACAAGAAATAATAAACGAAAGAGAAGTACGTAAAACAAAACTCTGCAAAAATTGCTTACGACAAAATCTCCTACGTTTTATGTCAATTATTCGTTATGCGCCTTGCTCAGACGAGATTATATGACGCCTAGAAACTCATGAATTTTCAAAAATAATGTTCAAGTGAAAGGAAGGTGTATTTCGATGTATAAACAAGTCAGGTCAACCAATGAAGAGCATTTTCGAATAATATCGTCTCCCGTGTTCCAGTTAGCACTGGAGATCTGATGATCGTGGCCCTGATGATTATTCTTATTGAATTACATTAGGAAGACTGCCGTACTCACATGACAGATTTTCGTCCGTGTTCATGACAGCAACCGAAACCAATAGGAGGTGCTGGCTCACGTAAATCAGGTTCGAAATCATTATCCATCTCAAAACCTTGATGAATCTGACAGACTCCTGCATGCCGACTTGCTGACGCTAGAAGTCGCCTAGTACATAGCCCGAAGACAAAGACACAACGGAAGGTTAACGGTAGCAGCATTTCTACGCTTCACAACACTCCCTCGTCATCCAAGATGTGTACTTTATCGATGGTGTCAATTGCCGAATCGAAGACCCACATTAGGCCTTCTAAGTGGTGTGAAAAATAACGGAGGCTCTGAGATGAGAATGTCTCAACCTCATGATCCGAATGTTTGTCAAGGACCACACAATGTCATCCACCAGCGATTTCTATGTACAGACATGTAAAAAAACCACCAAGGAATGTACATACTAAGTACCGAAGAAAACTCTCCCTGGGGAACGGGATGCGCAACTGGGACTTTTTGTTCCAGAATTCAATGTACATGTAGCATGTAATATATCGCAGAAAATTTTGATGCGAAGGATATCGAAAAATGTCGAGCATCGAGTTCGAGGGGGAAAAAAAACCTATATTAGAACGACAAAAATGAAGAACCGGGTAAATATAGTACCATGCAGCACAGATATCTTTAGACTGATTAAGTATGATCAGATTCAGATGCCAGCGAAGCAAACCTGTTCCATAGCCCCCCCAGAAACGCGCTACGCTTCCGAGTCGAAACATGCCTTCCTGGCAGAATTCATCGTCGGAATCTTCTATGCCCCTTGTTTTACGACAAGATCATTAGAATGACATATCATGCCCCCCCACTTTATTATTTTTGCCTTCCGCACATTTTCCAAATCACGTGAGGTTTTCGCCTTGAAAACCCACAGGTGAAAAAAGATGCTGGAAACAAGTAGGGAGATGTGGGTAGACGTCGGTGTAACCTTAATATCGGTGACGAGCTTCTCTAAGATCTCCTCTGAGGTCAGATCCGCGCTGCTGCTCACAGCGGCCCACTTATTCATCGCACCCGCAAAGACCAACTTAAAAGGCCCCGACTCTTTTGTGGCCACTTTGCAGAAGACACAATCCACAAAATCATTTGGATATCCCCGTACAATTTCATACCTGAAAAAGCGAGATTAAGGTAAACCATAGCAATGTCTACTTGAAGATACTACAATCCCGATGCTGGTAGTCATCAATAAGAATTGGTTTTCGGAACACTCAACAAATAATCAATTGTCTAAAAGCAAAAGGTATACTAGGCATCCTTACCTTCTAATATCACTGTGTGGGCGTGATGGCATCTATTTCCAGCATTGGTCTATAGCTACAAGAAGTGGATGCATATATGAAAGTCACACGAGAACCAGCAGCGAAAGACAGAAACGGCGCACAGATGGCAGAAGAACTCCTCATCACAGTCGCACGCGAGCGGGCCTCGCGCCGAGCAGAGCAAGACCGAAAGCCGAGCAGCCGCGTCGAAGGAGCAATGAGCAATTCCTCGCAGTGACTACCCAAGAAGCGAACTTCGAAGCGGCCGAAAACCTCGCCGGGAATCCGCCCAGCACCCAGACACCCCTATAAAAAAGGGTAGGGCGACGAACGGCCAAAGAGGAGCTAGGGGGGCCGAGAGAACGCGCTCCAGCCAGTACTCTCGACGAGAGTGAAGAAACCCAACAGACATGAACAACGGCTCGCGATCGGGCTGCTTTCTCTACTCAACTCATGAATATAAAGCGCCAGCGCAAAATATCTTCAATCGATACAAGATCTACCAAAATTAAATATTCGTCCTTACACAGCTCCCACCGTCGGCGGCTTTTCCTCAGCCCTAAGAAGCGCCTTTTGAAGAACCGCTAGTCCTGTGGATGTTTGCGCTTCTCGCCGTTCACGCCACAAGTCATGCAATCGAAAGACGATCTGTGTTGTTCACATCAGGAATTTCTCAGACACTGTATTGAGAGTCAAACACACACTTATATAAATATAAATAGCAGTGTGAATTAGAAGTTATGAAGAAATGAAAAAAAAATGCAACGATATCTTCATAGAGGAGTCCTAGTGCTCTAATATTGATGTCGAAGGTCATCGGCATTGTACATCGCGGTATTGTTGGACGGCAATCAAAATCAAAATAAGAAGTGTAATCTCTCTATTTGCCCTGGTACGCCATGATAAATCGAAAAAAATTTAGATAAAATCCAAGAGCAAGAGAGCTGTAGTACCTTTGGAAAATAATTCTTGTGGAACCAGATCTTGAAATTCGCTTCGAAGGATTCGGAAGGCGGAACCGTTGAGAAGAGGTAGGCACAGGCGCATCCGGCGGCCATTTTTCTTTGTCGGAATGTCAGAGAAACTAGGAAAGCGGCGACGAGTGCCGACCTTTTACTCTCTATCCGCATGCGCCGCCATTTGGAGAAAGCAACGTCCAAAATTCCGACCATCGTGTTCTTTATGCCAGCTGTTCGAAGAACATCTTCGTTCTTGTTCTCGTCCCTGATTCCAGGATTTAGCGCTACTCATGACAACAACACATATTTGTTCTTCCATTACATTTTCTGCATTTAGCTCTTACTTATAAGTAAAGAAAGCCAACTTAAACTTCTTATCCCACGTTCATATACGACTACATGGGGCAGCACGAATGCTCTCCGTCTGACCAAGACAAGGATGATTGTAATGGGATAAATCTTGGGAAAAAACAAAGCTCTGGAGCAAGATGCTGGCAACCGTTGGACACGCAATTAACATTAGATCGATGTAGATGCGAAAAGAAAAGAGCCTTAATGCTGCGTCGGGGTTACCCTGCGCTCCCGTATAGCGGACCACGCGGTCCTCAACCGCCGAGCGAACAGACCGGTAGGAACGCGATATCGTGCGACCCACGCCACGCGCCCACCGCAGAGGCTCTACCATGAAGCTGCTGTCCTCAGGGCGGTCTCTCTGATTTTCACTGTGGTCGGCAAAATCAACGAAGATAAGCGCGGGCTCGTTCGGCCGTGGATCCACGAGATACCGCGCCATCTTCAGCGCGGCTTGCCCTTGGTCCAGCAACATCGACATTCCGTTGTGTGCGTGGTCGCGCACCTCGTCTCGATCCGGGACTCCGAATTGCATTCCGTACAGCTGCGAGATGTCGAGAAACCCGTGTCTGCTTTTTGCCGTTCCTCGAAAAAAAACACTCCCAAAGTAGCTCCGACTAGAGGAGCTCGGTGTCGCTCCAACAAAGTGTGGTGTGTTGTCGTCTCCTGGACGACTGGGTTCTCCTCCAACGAAAGTTTCCGTAAACACGTCTCGCGCACCGGCTTGCGGCCGTAACCGTGGCAGTGCAGGCTGCTGAGACAAATCACCTCCGCTTGACTGCGGTGCACCAGCTCCGCCACTTACATCTATCGACGTTCCAGCATTTCCCCCAAGAGACGACGACGCGTTGGACGACACTTCGGCAGTTCCAGGGGCACCGGCAAGATGCTGCAGGCGCGCGAATGAGGATGCAGGAGTGCCGTAGAACGCGGACTCCACGTGGTGAAGCAGTGACTCGTCACTATTCGATCCGGTTCCGTCCAGGGAGTGAATGGAACGAAGTTCATCGTCCGTATTGCTTCCGCTCTTCAGGACGACGGCTGGATGAATAGGAGACGATGGCGGGGTGTCAAACTTGCTGCTGCTGTGGCTTGGTCGACGAGCAGAACTGCCCAGAGACCCCTCACCGAACATCTATTCACGTCCGTAACTACCTCTCGTTATCGTCTCCTCGATGGTGACAACAGCTAACCGAACAAAATTCAAGTTATTCTTGAAAAACGAATTTACCACTAGCAATACAAATTACTCAATCAATTCAACTACTCACCGTGCTCATATAAATCTATCAAGAGCAAACATTATCAAGTTGTTCTTTCAGACGAGTGACGGGCCAGCAACGACGCAAGCATCAAGTGGTAGACGTAGCCATCATCATGTCAACCTGTTAACAAATCACTGAGCTAATAAAGTAAAAGAATGCTGAAGAAGATTCAACAATTAATTAAGGTGCAATTGCTCGATATAGACCCCCTCCTATTCGAAGACGGGAAAACGAAATTACATTCACAAGACATATTGCACCCTGTCGTGACCAAAACTTTTCAAAACTTGATGTGCTCTAATACAGAAGAATAAATCAATAAGATACTGAACCGATGTAGTACACGCAAACTAAGTCAGGTAACTTTCACAAAATAAATACAACTTTTGCTCGAGGGGTACAGGGTATTCTTTCCTTTGCGACGGGCACACTTTTTCTTGGGGCTGTAGCTATATATAATATACTCAAATCATCAAAAACTGTCAAAGACAGGAAAGGACGTTTAGTCCTGGTCGTAGGGTTTGCTTCCGGGACAACTCTGATAGGGATGAACTGCGTGCTTTTTCTTCTAAACGCACCATCTCAAGCTCAACAGAGCAGGCTCCTGACCAAATTGTATCGAATGTTTTATGAACTAAAAAATGATCTCACCTTCGTCACAAAAGAAAGCAACCCTCGTTCATCTTCCACGTTTTACGTTCTTCTTGAATGATAAAGATAATGCGATGCACATTATTTATTCTTCATTGTTACCGCGATGTGCCAAAGAAATCGCAAAACTCAGGAGTCCAGCCACATCAGAACCGACAACAATATAATCACTCATGAAGTGGAACACGTGATAAGTTCGCCAGACCGCGTTCCTCGTCAATACATAGACCTGTTCACGGACGTACTTTTTCGGAATCTCCAGATGGGAAACAATAGTAGAGAAACATCAACAGTATGATGAATAGAAAAGGAATGAGTCCGCACTACAAAGCGCGCAGGAGAGGAAACCGCGAAAGCGGATTCGCCGCCGTCTGCGGTCAAAAGCTTTCTGTATATGATCACAGAAGATGGATACTCACGTGCGGTGTGCTTCATGGATGCTGTGATATGAGAGTCTGGTACTTCCAATGATATTTGAAGACCTTCTCCACGTCGGCAAGCTGGAGGCTCTTCTTCTTCAGGTTCTTACACGTACTGTTGGTGCATACCAGAAACCAGTTTCGAAAATTGTAGTCGTTCATCCCGAGAAAGCGGTCTGGCTGGATCGGGTCCTCAATCATGAAGTGCCAGTCGTTTTTTCTGCTTCGCACTGGACAGAATTCATCTATCAGATCGTCCACGAACCTGTGTCTGAGCGTCTCCAGCTCCACGGGATCATTTTCGACGCTCTTAGTGGTAAACGCGGCTGGCGCAGATGTTGTTGTACTGCCGTCGGTGGGCGGAACATTCGCTGCCTCAGTCATAGCTTCGACGCCACCATCCCCGACGCTCCTGTGCTCAGTCGCTGGACTAACCGTGCTACCACTCTGTAGGGAATCGCTTGTCCGAAAAAGGCTCTTCGGTACGAAGTAGCTCCCAAGCTGAGGATGCTTTAGCGAAACCGTCTTGCTCTCCTTACGCGGCTTTTCCTGTGCAGCGTCCTCGTTTTTTGTCACCGTGTCAGCGCTTCGATCAGAGGACTCCTTTCCGATCAGAGGACTCTCGTGCTGCCCTTCATCAGCCGAGGGCATTTTTTCTTCGTCATCCGCTTTTTGACTTCGCGGAGCAGACGCTTCGTCCTTTTGAGAAACAAGGCCAAGATTCACAAACGCGGCACTTTTTCCGAACGCCCCTGAAGGCTTCGAAATTGCGAGCAATCGTGGTGCTTCCACTTCAGTTTCCTCTACTGTCTTCGACGATGGCTTTGCGGTAGTGGATTCCTCGGTATCACTCACAGATGCATTTTCAGCGGATTCCCCTTCTGTTGGGTCGCTCTGCAAACCCTCTTGCTTCTGCTCATCTGCACCGCCTGCAGCAGCGCCTGCCGTCTCCTCCTCCTCCTCCTCGCGCTGCTTGGCGAGCAGCGCCTTTTCGGCAAGTTTGGCTTCGCGTAGCTCTTCCTCAAGGTCCCGCCGGTACTCGGCCAGCCGCGTCTTTGAGGAAAGGTTGGACACGCTGATCATGTGTCTTGGAACCATAGAGGGGGCAACGCTCCAATCCATCTCCTGCGAGTAGTACTGAAAGAAGCCATAAAAAAGTTGAAGTAGATCGGGCCCACCGGCCTCGGCGCCCACTGGCTCGAGGTTGAAGAGCGCACGGTAGTCGGCCTGAGGTAATCGCGCCCGCACGGCTCGCTGCTCGCGCTTCGAGAGCTTAGGTGAGTCAGCCTCGTCCTGGCCCCCGGTTCCAGATGAACAATATTGGTCCCATGCCGTCTCGGGGTCGAAGAACCAGTAAGTGTCTCCCTCGCGACAACCAGGCGCGGGGCCCGGAAAAAAATCCTGGCTCTCAACATTCTCAGACATTACCGCACTACTTTTTGTACTTCTCTCGGCATTATTCGTATACGTGCCCGGCGGCGGCACGCTGTTCTGCTCTGTCTCCATCTTTTCGTGCGCGCTAGATGACCTAGAGACAGCTGCATTACTGGCATGTTCCGATTTCTGTACATTGTACTGCGGCCCGCACGAGCCGAGTCCCATGTACCAGTACTTCGGGTGCTGTAACCGCGGCAGCACATTCACAACCTGCAAATAGTGAATTAGGAGCAGAAGATACGAGTAGCTCGAGAGCATCCCCTCTTTCGCCGATCCCAGGTTCGCACACTTCACATACTCCTTCAGCAACACAGCTAAGTGTCGCACAATTTTTTTGGGATGCATGTGCAGATACAAGTAGAGTAAGCGGGAGTTGTCGAACGTCCATGCCTTGGTAGTGATGGAAACATCAAAGCAAGATGGTCGAAACTTTTCCTCTTTGGGACGATACTCGACTTGCAGAATCGGTACTTTTGCGTTCGCAATCAGCTGTGTTTTTAGACACTCTGGGTCCTCTTTTACACGATCCTGTAACTTCTTCAGCACGCAAACAGCAAGCTCGTTCCCCGCACGTACTCGGATTCCGTCGACTGAGGAGTGAACATGATTCAAACAATAACAGATTCAGACTACCGAAAGCACTTGAGCCCTCAAGGAGGTAAGACGCCTCTCCCTTGTTTAATATAATCGCGTATCCATACTTATGTAGCGCCTAGTGATAGAACGAAATCCTTGGTCTTCCCCCAGGTGACAATAAGAACCAATATGCAGAAATCCGGGTGCAGGCTGTCTATCACCGTTCTGCTCATAGAAGTACATAGTTAGTCTACGTGTGATATAAGAGAGATAGGGAGTTCAGTACCACTGTCAAAAGAGATGTCGCCCCTCTTTTTTAGCTCTTGCATTGTTTTTTCATTTTCCGCGAAGCGAAGGCCGCAATCGTAATCGCTAGCGTTCGTTGCGCATCCGTTGACCACCGATCCAAAGAGCTCGAGCCTTGCCACGTTGTCGCCAAACAAGTCTGAAACAGCGGCTTTGATCCGCTTGAACGCAATTTCCATTGCCTGTTTTCTTCGTGGCTGCAGTTGCTGCCGGTTGGCCAAACGCTGCAGAAAGTCCTCAATTTTCTGGAATTCAGCGAGCTGCTTGGCCTCACTTGGTAGTTTCTCCAACGTCTCCGGATCCGTATCCAAGAGATTGACGTCACCGGCACCTCTACTAGTATCTTCGTTCATTGACATAGAGGAGTCCTTCCTTCTACCCGGCGTTGAACGTGCTTCCTTGTCTGCCTTCATCGACTTCCATTCCTGTTGCGTTTTTATCTCATCTTTTACGCTGTCCATCCAGTACTTTCTCGAACGCCAAGTTTTCCAAAACTTTTGCTTAAACCAGTCTAAATGTTTCTGCATATTCCTTTGGTCGTTCAATTCGCGGAGCTTCGCGTTCGCTGCACGTGCAGCTGCCGACATTCGCGTCCGTGGCGGCCTGTCTCTCCTTGTCGCCTTCTCCTTCGCGGCGGTTTTCTGATCCTGCTGCGGCTCACCTTTCTTGCTTCCCTTGCTTTCCCCGGCGAACGTCGTGGTAGGGGCAGAGTCGCTCTCGTCCCTTTTTTCGCGTTGCGCCGGTTCCTCACTTTCGCTTCGCGGCGATTGCACTGCTTTGGACGACGCATCACTTCTTCCCGCTGTAACCAACGATTGCTTACTGTTAGACGATCGCGCTTTCTGTGTTCGCTCTGCGGGTGCAAATTTCGAGCTCTGACGAGCCGCACCATCTAACTGCTCCGCAGCGCCTGCCGACGAGAAGCGGCCGCAGATTTCTCCCTCTTTTCCAATTTGATGGCCGTCGTCCTCATGTGGCGACGAAATTGGAGAGCGCGCAATTGGAGAAAGAACCGCCTGATCCTCTATATTGAACTTTTTCTTTTTCGGTGCCTGGAGATTATCTCCTCCATTCGTGGCTCCGTCTTTTTCTGTGTGACTCCTAGTGGAATCATCAATCAAATGCGCTGCGAGTGCCCTATCTGGTCCTCCTCTCCCAGCACCAACTTCGCCGCTAGCCAGGTTGCGTTTCCCCGCAACTTTCTGACCACCTCCCGACGCGCCAGGTAGTGTCGCCCACGGAATATCCGTGATCTGAATATTTTTCTTGCGCGTTTCTCCCGTCTTAGACGAAGATGCGGGACCACCTTCACACTGCGGTCCCTTCTTGCTGGGTGGATTTGGGTAAGTCTTGTCAGCACTGCCCGCCACAGAATCGATATCATCTTCTTCTTCCACGATTGATTTTTCGTTCGCCAGATCGGTGTTTTCGTTGTACCGTCGCTGGCGCCTTTGCCGATTCCTACTAGTGCTGGCTGATCCCACTAGATCTTCAATCGATACAATTGAGTTGTTCGTTGGGGGCTTATATTCATCGCTCGTTTTGCGCGATGCTCCGCTATTTCTTGCTGCCGCCGACGTTGCTGGGTTACTCACCACCTGGCCGATTCCAGCAGCAGACTTGTTCTTGGAAGCGCTTCCCCGTTTGCCTTTGCCCTTTTTTTTACCACCAGGAGTAGACGACGCGTTGTATACTCCCGTGCTCTCGTCCGCTTTTGTCGGTTGCCCGCCATCCCCAGCGACGGCGCGCCAAACCATGCCTTGTTTTGTCATTTTCTAGCTGGTCTTACTCAAAACCTATGTGCTGTTCATCCAATAGTCGCTTGTATCACTGATCATGTTCTTTCACCATGACATTTAGAGTAACGCCCCGACTACAAATATCTCTGGAGTCGGCAGCTCCTTCTCGCCATCTTCCCACAGCCCTTAGGGCAGAACTCCTCCCAAAGTGCAGCAAAACCAACACTGAAAAGAGTCACACTAGAACCAAATGTTGCGCGTCATGTTCCAGCTTCATGTCCTACGACTACCAAAGAACGTGACGTTCATTAGCTACAAACACAAATCACCCGCGGTACGCAAATGTGTAAATATAATCCAAAACTCAAAACCAAAAAGATCTCCTCGTCTAAGTCAAATTCATCAACCTTATGCTTTCCTACGTATCGAACCTAACACACGAAGCCGACGAACCATGTAACCGTCAATTCCTACCTACGCCTGTCGACGCATCTGTTATCAGTAGCCTGGATTTTCGTTTTGTGAAACGCAGAGCGAGTTCAAAAGGTAGTAAATGGGATTTGGGAGTCTGGAATTACGGAAGGCCTCGTCTACATTAATTACATGACTCACCAAAGCCTCCACACAAATACTGTAACTATGAATTAATCCAGGCAGATCTCGCAGAGTTCCTGTTGAATAGAGCCATCGTGTGCCTGCGTAAAAGAAACATAAAAATTCTTGAAGATGTAAATGAACATGCTGCGATGATTTTAGGTTTTGTGAGGTGCATCAACATCGAGCATCGACGAAAGGAACGTAGGGCACGAGTAAAGTTTGAACGGAACAGGGATCGCTTCACATTGAATCGAGAAACGAGAAACTCGTCCTCACTGTGTAGATGATTTGAATTTCATATTCAGGCAGATGCAGTAGACAAAGACATTCTCATTTTGGTTCCTCTGATTCTAATTGAGTCCCTTACACTTGCTGCGTTAAGTAGAATCTCTAACGCTCACACCTCGGCGGTTTGCCTTGTTTGAGTACTTCGTATATCTCTCTCCTAGTTGTACCTCTCAGCGTGCTACTATGATCGATGAAACTCTCCATGATAAATACCTTCAAAGGGGAACTGATTGAAACATGAACACGCGAGAAACAAAACGAAAATGAAGTTTTTTCTTGCGATCTTCAATAGGTTCTTCCAAGCAAAATATCGCGCTTTCGAGGTGCTAGTTTTTCAAAATTTTCGGTCTGGCGTACAATTTCCGACGCTGGCGCTATTGACAGAATACTACTACGAGGCCCTCTACTGCTACCTGCGTGAATGTAAACAGGTGTATCTGCAGTACCTCGATTGGCACCAGAATGTGTGATCCCCACATTTTGTATTTGTTCTGTCTGACACATCTTTTGCGCTGTGAAATCCTCTACCCCAAAAGGAGCCAGAGTCAATGTCTGTTGAAGACAACAGCCCGTCGAATTGATCTCCTCCGAAGGAAAATAGTCGAGCAGCTTCTGAGTCACTGCAGCCGACTCAAAACAGAGAACCCACAGTTCTGAGGCTTCACCCGCAAGCAATGGAGGGGGGTGCTGCATCCGCGCAGTCGAGGCCTTCGAGCAGCATCTAGTCTCTTTTGCAGGCGATTTACCCCTAGATCGTGCGCGTTGGAAAGAAAGGCCCACCACAGTGGGTGTCGGCCGAGAGATTCCGGATACACTTCTGTACTTTCCAAGTTGGGCGTCGTCTTCCTCAAATCGAACTTCAAGTGCAGAAGTTGTACCGGCTCTCTCTGCTGAGGCCGGCCGCTGTGCTCGAGCGTAAAACTGACGCACGCAGACTCCTGAAGATGCGACTTTCGCGCCTGAGGAACCGACTTCCACGATCATGGCGGTGACCTTTGCACAAAAGGGGGGCAGCAAGTGAAGATCTATGCTGCGCGTTGGCGCAGGCGATAACCTGTCTGAATCTGTGGCGTTCTCTCTGGTAGCACTTCTAGCAGGAACCATGCTCTTTCCATCCGTAGCCGAGAGACACTCGGTGACCATGTCAAGCCGCGAGAGCTCACGAATAGGGAGCGGTCGCTGCAAGTTCTCCAGCAAAAGGCTGTTCTCGGCCGTCGTCTGATCCCTTTGGCCAGCGGCTAAACGCCGGCTGTTGTCTACGCTGCTCACGACAAGATGACGGTCCGTCCGAGAAAGAAAGAAAATACGCGCCAGCCCGTCGACGTAACACCGGGGAAGACCTTCCCTTAAGGCAAAACTGACCAACTCAGATGGCAATCGCCTAGAAGGGCTTCGCGGAGTGGCGCCAATGGCTTGTCTCGCTCCAGTGCCATTCTCGAGCAAGCAAACTAGCGCTAGCAAAAACTGCTCCTCGAGTGGATAAACTGGCTCTGCGCTACCGGAAGAAAACAATGTTGATATGCAGTGCGACTCATTATCTTGATCAGGTGGCTGTCGTCTCGTCGGACGATGAGAGAAAGCAGGTCCAGTACTCTTTCCTGCTAAAATCCCGCCCGGTTCTTCTTGCTCCTCTCTATTTGGTGGCAATAAGCTGTTGTAGCTTGCCGCACCGCCGAGCAGTGTCGGCGTATCAGGAATGGCATCTGCATCAATTAAGTTCGACAACGAGATGTCTCTTTCAGGAAGAAAGATAGACGCTGCTGCGTTGCCGCCGCTGTCACTGAGTCTTCCCGCACTGTTAATAGTGTGCCGTCGCATTCGTGATAGCGCGCGCCGGGCAACTACGGTCTTCCGATTACCACCAACTGCAGTCTTCTGGGTGTCTCCAGTTGTCTGCTGGAACGCAGACTCAGTTTCAGGAGGACCAAGTGGAGCGAGAGTTTTGCGCAGAACTTGAGTGAGCACTCGAAGCTTCGTCGCGACTTCCTGCCGCTTCTTGCAGCCACGCAACACGGCTGGCACGTCCTCAAGCAGAAGATGGCGGATGAGAACCGCGTAGAAAACTCGCCGAAAATTTGTCCATACCTCGGCATAAGCGGAAGATGTTAAGCGAGCTCGCAGCTGTGCCAAGCTCTCACGCAGGTTGAAAGCATCCAACAAGAGATGACCGATAGCGCTACTGAAAAGATGACTTGATATGGCATCCTTCGAGCGTCGTCGCAGGTTGAATGTCAGCTCTCCGATCAGTGCCCAGGCAAGCAGCCGCTGCAGACCTGCTGCGCGATCCTTGCAGCGCTTGAAAAAATTACTATGCTCTACCCAGGTTATGTAGACATCGCCGTCGCCCTCACTGCCTGTGTCGCTCTCGTCTGACTCCACGTCATCTGCATTATCTGCATGCAGCAAGCTGCTTGAAACGCACGACGCTGTGGTACGACCTCGTCGCCGGCTGAAAGCGCGCGGTCCGGAAGAGACGGAATGCGAAGATGAACAGCTTTTACCAAGGCCTGGTAGAGCATCCTCCCACGAGCCGTTACATCCTGCCGTCTTCTCAAATGATTTCTCATAATGATTTTCGGAACGGTAAGTAAATGCTGTCAACACGCAATGCTCCAACCGCCTCATCGCAGGCTCTGGCTTCCGAACCGATGTCCCCTCATCGCATGCGCCAGCAGCCTTGAGTGGCACAAATATTAAAGCCCAGCATTCATTGGTCCCTGACTCTGAACGGAAGAGACCCCCTCCAAGGCTCTCCCCTTTCTCTTCATTTTCCCCTGTTCTCTCAAGGAGGCCCTCTTCGATTTCAGTGACCAACCTCTATGACCAATGAAAGTTGAGCCTTAAAAATATATCTACAGTTGCGGTGACGATGCGCCTCTTGTTCTCGGGACCTCCATTCGCAACTTGCTGCTGGACTATTGTCCGCCTGCTTGACGTGCGAGAGTCATCTGGATTGACCAGGATCGACTTTACACGTCGCACGCCATGAGGTGGTACGCAAAGACGCTGTGTCTGGTTGTGCTGGTCTGGCTTCAAATAATTTGCCAGTGCCGATTGATTTACTGACTTAAAAGCGTGTGCTGTAAAATTATCCGCCTCAGGTGAACTCTGCTCTTCGACGTTAGCCCATGCAGCGAGCATGTCTGCTCGCAGCGCTGCCTTGCCATCGAAAGCCCATTCTGCTCGCACCTCCTGCAATGTCGGCAATACTGAATTCAAAAGCGCGATCATGTAGAGTGAACGCCGTTCGAAATCTGGCGCTACATTGCCTAAGACCCAGTCGCGCTTGCGGTGGCCAATAGCACCCGAGGCGGTCGAGAGAAGACTTGCGCTGTCGTCAATGAAAACTCGACTAAGAGCGCTGGTGTCAGTCGTGCCGGATATGCAGCTATCTACGTCGTGGGAAGTAGAAGCTGAGCCCGATTCTGGTAAGGAGTCCCAGCACTTAAAACTCACTACACCAGCAGCGGCAAGCTTGCGCGTATTACATACACCACGAGATGCCAGGCGGGCGCTCCTTGATTCCGAAGTGGATGTCGTCGCGTGTGCTGACTTTGAGAGTGCCGTGTTTCTCCCATGTGCGTGACGGAAGTACACTTTTGGGGAAAAATAAAACGCACAAGCCCACGCAATCCACAGATCCAAGTACCGAATTACTGCACTTTCCATAGCAAGCCACATTAGCTCCCATTGCAACAAGTATTGCTTTCCGTGTCCTTCAATGGCTCCGTCTCCAATATCCTGGGCACCATCTTTCACGCCAGACAAGGACCTGCCGACGATGGGCGGAGATGGGCACCTGCCTAGAGTGAAGTGTTCGGTGACGCTATTGAAAGCACGAAATAAGTCGTGCGTAGTACTTGAGGAAAGCAGTCCACCAAGCACCCCGAGTGAAGGGTCATCAGCTTCCGAAGCATCACTCTCCGCCATCCGTCTTTCTTCTCTACTCCCGTCCCCTTGCTGTCGATGTATCCTGCTACTTTCGCTCGTCGAACCGCTAACATGCAAAAGCTGGTCCTGCGAGGAGCATGCAGTCGACGGCGTTGCCAACGGATCGTCCTCCTGTTTCTGCGCCCGTCTCGACGCTTCCGCGGCTGCGCCAAAAATTCTCTCGAATTCAACATTCACCAACGGAGATTCTAAAGCGGCCTCGTCCGCTTCGCAGTCACGCAAGGGCCGGCTACTTCCCGCCAGCGCAGGCGCAGCTGCACCCTTTGTTCCTCCGACAGGAGAAGTCACGCTGCACCGTCGCCTTTCGTCGAGATCGTCTGCAAAGGTAGGACTGTCTTCGTTGCTGGCAACTTCTGGTGAAGACGGCAAAGTACGGGTAGTTGTGGAAAAAGGGAATCCGTTTCGCACCTCGCGCGTAAACGTCGTGTCTGCTAGTGCCAGTAAGCGCGGCTGCATGTGGGTCTCTACGTAATCGCGAGCAAGCGCTTGAAGGCAGCTCTCGAGATCGAGAAGCTCTATGCGAAACGGCACCAGAAATTCCCGTTTGAACTGCTGTAAGAATGAGAGGAGCAGAAGATCCAGATCAGTTGATGAGACAGAAGAGGGAAGCTGCGATAGCTGGTGTTCAGTCCTCTCCTCCGCAGTTGTGCTCCTTTCTGCAGAAGGATTAAGGAATTCATCTACCCGCAAAGCTGCTCCATTTTCGCTACGACCACTTCTCGAAGATGCAGCAATGTTCGATGCAGAGCCGCATGCATTGTCGATTCTCGGCGTTTCTTGAGCCCGCAAACAAACCAACAAATCATTCCAACATTCGTGATCTTCACCTGAAGGTTTCATTTGGCCAGAACGTTTGCTGACTTCTCGTCCAGTTTTCATCGAGTGCGCGAGAAAAACAACATCCAGAAACGGTTGCACGTATTCCTGTCCAATCGCTCTCACTACGTCGGTCGCGCCAGCTTTCCATGCGATTCGCAGCAGGTCTGTTAGATCCTTTGCGCCACCGAGTCCCTCGCTCGTCCTCGTAAGCGCTGATGCCACGCGAAAATAGTCCAAGTCCATCAGGTCTTTGCGAAGCGCGCTTGCGAAATCAAAAGTGTTCGTGGTCGAAGTGTGCGACAGGAGTAAGCGCAGACAGGTGGCTACGCTGCTTCTTTCAGTCTCATGATCACATTTTTTCGGCTGCTTCTGATGACTTGACCCGCTATCGAACTTACAGTCCACGGATGTCTTCATATCTGACAGGTGAAAAATTAGTTCGCTTGTTCGCGGAAGACAACATCGACGCACTGCTGCAAATCTGTGATGAGGACCACCTATTTCGTCTAGCGGTGCACTAGATGAAGCAAATCGACTAAGAATTTCTCCAGACGTGTAGGTCTCACGGCTTTCCCGACGTGCATGAGCTGCATTTCTCGCATTGAGGAGTGCAAAACGCAACTTTTTTGCCTCTCTCTTGGATCCAAATCGAATGACTTCCACCTTGGTAAAGAACGGAGAATCGGGAATCAAATTGTGGGTGTTTGACGCACACCCCTCACTCCGGTAATAAATTTCCAGAACCCACTCGCCACATTCTGAGTATACAACCAGTTGCTGTATGCTTGAAACGGGTACTGCTAGCACAGAGGGGTGCGCGATCTCGGTCCCGTACCCGTTTTTTAGTCCTTTTTTCATAGCACAATGCTGCGTTCTCGAGCTACGCGGCAACATGCTCGTGACGTTCACAGCCGCGGTACTGTGTTTACCGTGGTCAGCTGAAGACCCAAAAACGCTCGAAAAATTGCAATATGCGCTGGCTCGCCTAGAAAGCCTACCCGCAAAAGACGTCTCGAGGTTCAAAACCGGTCGCGAAGATGCAGTAATCATCTCCTCCGTGAAAGCAGGCGCTCGTGGATTCAGCAAGTACAACACATTCGGTCGCACCGTGTGCAATGCAAGCCCTCCACAACGACCATCGTTGGTACCGCAACCGTCGTCGGAAGTGCTCCATCCAACGAGACTCTTGCTCCGACGGGGTAGTGCAAGTGTAACCCGTCGCTTGTTCCTGCCTCTCGTGCAAGCTTTCTTCATCTCAGCACTGTCTTCAGAATCCGTGTCCCGACCAGCATCTCCCCTGCTGCTGCTTCTCCTTCGGAAAGTGGAAACCTCGTCAAGGGAATTCGAACGTCGTCGACGCACGTCGTTCCGTTTTCGCGGCAAGCGCTCCTCTATATTCTCCAGAAAGTCGGACACCGCATCGAACCTCGCCGGCCTCTCCAAGTCGAGGGCTCTCTCGCTGACAAGGAGCAGGTAGCGAAACTCAACGGCCAACGCGCTAGCATCTGTATCCCTGCCCTGGAGGTGTTCACTGGCCAACCGACTTGAAACTCCGGGTCTACTTCTTGACCGTCCAGGATTCTGCCCAGTGAAATCATCCACCTGCACGGTAGAGTCACGAAGCTCCTGAGGCGAATGTACCGTTGTCCGCCGCCGTGGAGTAAAGCTAACACCCGATATGTGCGGAAGCCTCAAGAACTCACGCTCCCCCGACATCGTTTTGTCCAGAGGGTTCACGGGTGAGCCACATGCGGAGATTGTATGCGAGGAGCTTACGGCGGAAAAGTGTACAGTCTTACGTCTTTTCAACACGACCGGGGGTTCTAATAGGTCTTCCTCTTCATCGGCGGCGCAGATACTCCGGTCAACTTCAGTGTTCTGTTTCACACGAATACTGTTTCCACCACCTCCTTGAGTATGTGCACAGAAACCACCCTGTCGATCGAGTTCAGCCCCCGGCACTGCACAAAATTCTTGGACAGTCGATCGCCGGGCGCTGGCGCGCTCGTCTGCACGACTCAGCCTGTTGCGCAAACTAATGAAAATGCCGTGTTTGGCCGAATATCTGGGAAGCGGAACTTGGCACTGAGAACAAGAAAAAAATAGGTGCTCTTCCGATAGCGTTGTGAGTGACGATGAAGGTTCGACATTCTTGGATCTCGAGAAACTGTTATCAAAAAAGGCTTGCATACGGAGCAGAAAGTCGCGCTTTTTAAGCAGAACAAGTGCTGGCTTGACATCAGATTTCTTGTGCTGTTGATTGCTTGGTTGCGCGTTTCTCGCATCCTGCGCATCGCAAGATGGACCTGTCAGCGGTGCCGTAGGAACTTCTGTATCCCTACTCGCAGCTGCTAGCATTTTCATTGTGCCTCCGGGAAGAACGGTTCCCGCATGCACTGCCGGTCTGCTTGCTAGACCCACACCATCGTCCTTGTCCAAAAATTCGTCGACAGTTGTGCTCTTCACCAAAGCCTGTCCCTTTTTCTGCAACGGCGGTGGAGGTGGCTCTCGATTCAATGCTCCGTCCTGCACGACGTTCCGGATGCAACGGTTTAGCTGTAAAAACCAGGCATTGCGAACGTGCTTCGAGGGACACATGAGTTCCTCATCGTATTTCCCGCTTGGCCGTACTATGGTAAGAAAGTAGTTGTACTTATTCGAACCAGAGCAACGCCCTGGCAGACTGCTATGATCAAGATTAGCGGTGGCTATAGAAGATGAAGAGCTGCCCGATGCACCACCGCCCCCCGAGGCCGCATTCGCTTCGAGGGCCTGCCCGTCCAGAAGTTTCCGTGCGGCCAGGTCACTCGCGCCGTCCGTCGTGCGTCTCCTCGCATAAATACTCGAAGATATTACCCGAGATAAAGTGGAGGCGCTTGCTTGGTTCCGTGATAAGAGTGCTCCCTTGTCTCCTGGCTTTTCTATCGAGTTGAGGTCCTCTTCATCTGAAAAATCTTCGTCGTGCTCAGACATGCACCCGAGAAGCCGCTCGTCCTCGGGATCAGCAAACACTGTATGTCGTCGTTTCACTGCATTTCCTTGCTCTGAAGTCCTCAAAATGAAATCCTCAAGCGGCACTGGAGCGCGTGGATTCGCGGCCGGTGCGGAAGCCCCCGCACTGGCAAGTCCAACGTAATCACAGGCTGCAACACCTTCAGCGCGGCATTCCGCTGTATTTCCTTTCGATGACGATGACGCCGTTATTGCTGAGAAAGAGTTTGCTCCGACGTCTTCTGTGCTTCTCGTATCACTCGCAGTAGCATCTGGCCCCCTTGCAGACTTTTGACTTCCACCCTTGACGCCAGCGACACTCCTATCTGGTCTGCGTGGCAGCGGATCTGCCGCTCTTGCTGTCGTGGTTGACCTGACCGCGTGGACCTTTCTTTCTTTGTCGTCTGCAACCTCATTTTCATTTTGCGATGCAGCAGTTTCTAGGCCCGCCCGTGTCTCGCGCTCCACCGCAAGTACCTTGTTCTCCGCCACGCTACCAAGAAAGCCAAGCAGGCCAAACTGTGGCTTTGCCGCATCTGCTAGCTCGCGTGGTGGCACCACAACGTGGCATCCTTCCGCGACGAGGTCGATCTCTCCTCTTGGCGCTTTCTTGTAAGCACGACGAATGCGAAACTTCGTGAGCACCAGCGACCCCGGAGATCTAATTGGTCTATCCACATCGTCAACGGCAAGGAGATCGGGCGAACTCCGAGACGGATCTTCCGAAAGCTCCTCTTTTTCTACCTGGAACAATGTTGACCAACCAGGATTCGACTGAGACTAATGCACGAGAGACATAAAGAATTAGTTACATAGACATTTGGATATTTGATTTCGAATGATGTTAGTCCAAACAGAAACAACTTAAAAATGTCTACCACACGAATGTTTGCTGAAACAAGAGGTAGCAAAAAAGAATCTGTCGCACTAGAGCTCGCTAGGTAGACAACAGAGGAATTGATGGCGGACAGTGAGTTCTACCTCAGGCTTATATCGCCAGAATTTCAAGGTTCCGTTTTCGAAAAGCACGAAATAACGACGCTTCCATCGTCCTACATGATGTGAACGCTGGTGCAACCATCCCTCATGAGCGACGGCTTCCATCATTCTGCTTCATCTAGTGATTGTGTATGAGCCTCCTCAAAAACATTTGCGTTAATTGATTCTTGACTTTTTTCCAAGAAAGGTGGATCACCAATTAACGTTATCAATCACAAACATCGGCAGATCGCGTTTTTCCAAACAGCTTCCATGGGAGCACAGACAATATAGAAATTCATATTACTGAGTCACTGAGTACTCAATAAATCAGATTCGTTCAAACACAAAATGCGACACAATTCGCCAGAGACCTACGGCGGCACACGGCATTTCTCTCCCGTGGAGTCAGTCTTCATTGATTCCGTCATATCTATCACAAACCTGATACAGCGGCCGTCGATGGAATCGGGGAAAGCAAGTTAAGCGAAGAGGTCTACAGTCGGGCAAATGGGAAAAAGAGTCTCGTTAGATTCGGCAGCAACGAGAGTCTTCGGGGATCGATGCACATTACTCTAAACGCGTTAGCAGAGAATCGGGGGATACATTTTGATGCTTACATTCAACGGTTACCAGGTAGCTCAGAATATGATGGATATTCGTTTTTCACGAAAGCCTATGCAGTTTCTTCACGATGTGTCATTAGAATTTAGACTAAGAAGATTTCTGGCTTGATTTCAGAAGCCATGGCTCCAGAAGATCTGGGCTTGGGAGACAGCAGTGCAATTCGCAGACATCACAAAAGAAAGAAAAAGAAACCACAGACAAACAACTCTGGAAACTGACAAAGGGATACTGACAGGAGCCGCTACCTAGAGATGGAAAACTACAAAACAAGGTAGGAGAAAGGAGCCAGGATTAAGTCAACCAGCTTAAACAACAGAAGATCGATACATAGAAAACCAAGAAACCACCACACTAATACGGAAGGAGAATAGTACTAGCATTGCAGATGCTCGTTATATGGAGAAGACACGAGTGAAAGCGAAAAGTCCTATGCAAGCTACGAGCCTATGAGATTGGTACAGGCAATCATGACATTTAATGTATACACCACGTCTGTCCAAAGCGTGATGACAGTACGGCGCAATGCATCTCGTCATCACGCACCTGCTTCTACGCAACCGCAAATCTGTAGCGCTGTGCTGTCGATTACTGAAAAATAAAGCCTGAATCAGGGCTTCCCGAGAACCCGCATATTGATAGTATTTTGTAAAATCAACTCGTCGCAGTCGTAAAACTAACTTCACATTCAAACTATTCTTTTTTGTCAAGGTAACTTATTAACGTTTATGCACTACTTTCGCTA